TTTATGTGTGGCGAAGGTGGTTTTCTTTGTCTGTCTGCACACACAAAACACGATGATGCCACGGCAGAGCGTTTCCAGTGAAGCTACAGTGTATTCCTCCAGGAGAGGTGACCAGACACAGCTCCACAGGCTCAGAGTCAATCAGACTCCATCAAGACTAAAGCACGAAGCTGACAGTCAACATCAAATCAGAGTTTTAACTCCTCAGTCATACATGACAATAGTAAACACAGCAAGAATGCACTCCAGGGGTTTGGCATCAACAAAACAAACACTGACAATACTTTACTTAAACATGGTATTCCTGAGACTGACCTTTATACTGTAACCTACTCATGCAGCTTCCCAATGATGGACATCTCCAGCCTCCGGCGCCTGGACTGCAGCTCCGCACAAGACATTTGTCCAGAGGAGACTTGGTGGAGCCCAGCTGAGCCTGCTCTCTCTGCAGGTTTTTATCTTTCACTTTGGTCAACTGGGGACGTTTTTCCTCTCCGCTGTCGCCGCTGGCTTAGCATGGGTCAGGATCATGGATGGATTTGCTGTTCAGTGTTTGGACTCTCAGCAGTGAATATTAAACCACACTGAATTCATTAGTACAGCACTTTTACAATGTAGATGGTGCCAAAGCTGCTTCACATAGAAGATCATAGTGAATGTAAACAGTGGAGTTCAGTATTTAGTGTTTCAGTTCAGTTCAGTTCAGTTCAGTTCAGTTCAGTTCAGTTCAGTGTGATTTAATAATCACTACTGAGAGTCCAAACACTGAACAGCAAATCCATCCATGCGCAGCTCCACAGATCCCGAAAGCCAGTGGTGAAGATAATACTACTCAGCTCGCATACTGACTTTAGTGCACTATATAGTATGGAGGTGTGTGATTTCGGTAGAATGGTTGCGCAATGGGTAGCACAATCACCTCACAGCAAGAAGGTCTCTGGTTTGAGTCTTGGCTGGGTCGGTTGGTGTTTCTGTGTGGAGTTTGCATGTTCGCCCCGTGTTGGCATGGGTTTCCTCCGGGTGCTCCGGTTTCCCCCACAGTCCAAACACATGCGCTATAGGGGAACTGGGTAAGCTAAATAGTCTGCAGTGTGTGTGTGTGTGTGAATGAGTGTGTATGGGTGTTTCCCAGTGATGGGTTGTGGCTAGAATGGCATTCACTGTGTAAATCATATGCTAGAATAGTTGGCGGTTCATTCCGCCGTGGCGTCCGCTGATTAATAAAAGGAATAAGCCGGAAAGAAAATAAGTGAATGAGTGTGTGATTTCGGACGCAGCTTCTGTCTTGTCCTCTTTATTCTGTTGACTATACATTAGTGTTCCTGATTGTTTATATATATATTGTTATATACAGAGGATGTTTCGGGTGTTCAGTGGTTTGGACTGTATACTGCTGTGTTTGAGTGATTGGTCATTTTAAATAGGAATTTCAATGTTATACATGTTTTATCCATAAAGGAATGCGTCCCCGAGCTAAGATTAGCTGGTTGACACACACATCCATCTGTATTCTATTACGAAAATGACCTTATTCCACCAAGAAATCTCCAGATGGCTGCTGTGTTCAACACTGCAGGAGGGGGAGCGTTCAGGTTCTGCAGTGTTCACACTGATAGATCCAACATAGGCTCATTCTGAAAATGTACCCCTGTACACAAATCTGGAGATCCTGAAATATGTAGCCAGAGGTGCGTATGGCGAATGTACAGGGTGGTCTGACGCCGTTCCCTTTCGCTCCAGCTGACCGATTACCTTCATATGGATGGCTTTCCTGCTGTTTGCCAAGTGGCTTGCTGCATATGTCAGCAGATGAGATGATCGTGATGAAGGAGTTGGAGTCTGGAGAAGAACAGCTCCAGGTAAACAGGTAAAACTGAAGCCAAAAAATAAAATAAACAAGTAAATAACAGCGTGACAATGTGGTAAGATCTGAAAGCGAGGTACAAATCAGGCTGCTTCTTTTTCTGGATTGCTTTTGAAAACACTGTGGGTTGGGTTTAAGGAAGGAGGAGGGTGGGTCAGTCAATTGTTCAGTCACTCGTCAGCGGCCTCTGGTGGATTTACGCGAGAACAGCAGGCATGAATGGCACTTGTGAGAGATATTTGAGATCTGAAAGCGTACACAGCAGCCTCTGGTGGATTCACAATAACAACAACTACAAAAAACGTAGCTCCTGCGAGGTATTTGGTGCTCTCCAGAAATTTATACAGGGGTACATATCCTGAATGAGCCGGTGTTGGATGTGAGAGGAGGACACACAGCAGGACTGTGTGGCTCACAAACACTCGCGAGAAGAGATGACAAACTAACTGTGGACCATGATCCAGACTGGATATGGATATGGCAATAAGTATTAATCATTTGCGATTGAAATGCTCTGATTCGCAGTGAAAGGGCAGAGATGTTGGAGGTCTGGAGTGGAATAAACAGTGCTGCAGTGTGCGGCTGCTCCAGCTAGTGTGTCCTCTTGGTGTCTGCTCTGTGTTCCAGTAAAGCTTCTTTATTTGGAGATTGTGGTGTATAACTCCTCCCCGCTGTGCTCCATCTTCCTCTCTCATTGGCTGTAGGTCATGGCCAGTGTGTTTATTGGTCAGAACTCATTTCACACAGGATGATTTTCAGGTCCAGATATTTAGTATGATAAGCAGCACGTCTGCCATTCTCTCAGATCACATCTATGAAGAATCCCGCTGTGTGACTGCCGCTCGTCTGAATGAGCACCCATTTGCCTCAGATGACAAGGTTTTGGCTGCAATTACATGAAACCTGCCAGCGGGTGAAAGCCAGCTGAAATCTTGCAATGTGAACTCGGCATGAGCCACTTATTCCTCATCTGAGATCATGAAGAAGCTGCGCTGAAACTGCAGTGTTCAAGTTCAAACCACTGAAGTGCTTTCCTCCAAAACCTGAGGATATTTCTATTCTCAAATCATCCACTGATCCTTTAGGAAACTGCAGACAGAGAAGTGCTTCCTGAATGGCTATTTCATCACACAATAGTGAACAGGAGCGCTGGTTTAGCAGAAGCACATGCTTATGCACCGCGCAGCGTTCACTCTCTCACAGGGCTGACGGGGATGTCTGCGAGCTCCATTTGTGGGTATTCAGAGCTGGAATCCTCCATGGTGTCCATCATGTTAGAGTCCGAGCAGTCGTTATGCTGCCTCTCTCTGTCCATCTGCGGGCTTCGGGGTGGCTCTGATTCTGCAGATCCCACTGCTTCTTTCGCCTGTCGAATGCAGTTGAGCCACTGTTGTTTGTTGAAGGTGTCGCTGGCCTGGAAGCAGTGCATCTGCGTTTGTCCTCCACAACGAAACATCACCCGGAAAAAGTTCTTGGCTAGATCAACAGAAACAGAGATGGGTGTTTAGGCATGCAGAGCTCTCTAAAGTATTCACAACAGTTTTATTATCAGGCCATGTTAGGGTAGGTCACAGGTGTCAAACTCTGCAAGGGCTGCAGCGCTAACCCTAATGAAACACACCTGATCAGACTAATGGAGTGCTCCAGGCTTGTCTGATAGCTACAGATTGAGGTTGACACCCCTGTGTTTGGTCATTACTTTGTTCACTAGGAGAACTGGTGAACAATAACTGACGATGGACCACTGATAATGTGGAAAATAATGGGAATTTTATGGAAAATATCAACATGTAATGATGTTACAGCATGATGTTGTGTTGACGTTACCACAGATGTTGAATTTTGATTGTCATATCTGATGAATAGATGTCAGTATTTGATGTTAATATGCTGGTGGTTTGAGATGTCGGCTCGACGCTGAATTTTGGTCAATTTCTAACAGCCTAAAATCAACCAAATATCAACATCAGCTGACGTCATCATTGATCATCAAAATAACGCTGTCCTTGACTACACACTGAAATTTGCTCACCTGACATCACGACCTAAATCCAACCTAATATTAACGTCTGATGATGTTGTGGCCTGCTGGTTTCTAACACAGAGAGTCTTCTGTTGTGTTTTGCTGTGATTTTTGACTGTTGTAGCTGTGTAATAACTGAAATCATAGTAATATGCAATATGGAGCTGTAATGCAGTCGAAACCTGCCGGAACTACTTTAGCTGTCTGAAAATAACAGCACCTTAGAATGCTTATCAGCCAATCAGAATCAAGTAATATAAAGTGGCGTTCACACTGAGGACGATAACTATATTCATTCATTCATTTTCTTGTTGGCTTAGTCCCTTTATTAATCCAGGGTCACCACAGCGGAATGAACCGCCAACTTAGCCAGCAAGTTTTTACGCAGCGGATGTCCTTCCAGCCGCAACCCATCTCTGGGAAAACGATAACTATATATATTCCAATAACTATAGCTGTGACAACGTCAGCAAACAATGAGTCTATTTTTAGTTTATGCTTTTCTTTTTGGGCGGTTCATTCCGCTGTGGCGACCGCAGATTAATAAAGGGACTAAGCTCAAAAGAAAATGAATGAATGGATGCTTTTCTTTTTGCATTACCTCTTGTAACCAGCAGATGTCCTCAGAGTGCTCGATCTCTAGCGCATCTGAATCCAGCTTAATCAATCTAATCAATGAATTTTGTTAAAACATGGTTATGTTCTTTATTTTAGAGAGTATGAACACTTCTGCTTTCAACTGTATATATATATAATGCTATGTTCATTCATTCATTTTGTTTTCGGCTTAGTCCCTTTATTAATCTGGGGCCACCACAGTGGAATGAACCACCAGCATATGTTTTACGCAGCGGATGTCCTTCTAGCTGCAACCCACCACTGGGAAACACCCACACACACTCATTCACACTCGTACACTATTGTCAGTTTAGTTGATCAGTTCCCCGATGGCGCATGTGTTTGGACTGTGGGGGAAACACAGAAATGTGAATGCTTCCGGGTTAGTGTTGGACTCACTCCGTTCATTGTTGCTGAAGGCTCCTCTGATGGATCCACCGACTCGCATCTCTCCGTCCTGCAGGTCCTCCCACTCCAGGTCTCTCACAGGAATGGGTTGCCGGTAAAGCTGATACCACAGCTGCTCATTGTGGCTAATCGCCCGCGTGATCACCAACACGTCCTGGAACAGGAACACGTGCAGCTTCTGCAGCAGACAGACACAGAGAGAGATCTTTGGGTTTATTGTGGAGTTCTTCAATAATGTTTGACACATTTATTCACTCTGCAAACGTCTGTTGAGCTGGACAGTTGCCTGTTAATGACAACACTTTTAAATGCACTTGTTGGTGTTTAGCTCGGGTGGAACAATGCTTTTATTTTCAACCAGGCTGTTCTATTGTCTGGAGAGTACCAGAAATACACCTTTTGCATCTCTATCTGATCCAATAGCAAATAAAACAGCATGAAAGTGTTGTCAAAAAGGAAAAAAGAGAGATTGACCACACTATACTGCTGAAAACACGCCACACACACTCTAAAGCTATGGCTACATAATGTGCGCTCTCCAGAATCATATACAGGGCTACATATTCACAATGAGCCCGTGTTAAACAAACCCAGACCCAAAGAAAGGACGAATGAGGGAAGCTCTTACAACGCCTCTGTTGTTCTTGAGTTCTCCGTGGCAGATGAGGATCCGTGAGCTCTCGATCAGCAAGTCTCTCTGGCCACTTTCCAGATACAGTAAGCGCTCTTTATAGTAGCGGCACTCCGACTCGCCCGTCTGTGTGTTAATACCGGCCACGATGCTCTGGATCATGTTAATCTGTAGAGGTCAAAGAGTAAATTCAAATGATTGTTATACAGTAGGATATTGACACACAGTGCGTGTATCACCAGGGCGTTTACTGTAAAACATGGATGTCAGCGCTTATATTTTGCTGTATTTTTTTAGTGGATGAATGTAGTTTGTAATGAAATCTATCCATGATTGTACAGTATTATTATGACTATCCTATTACTTGAATTGAATTAAACTGTTTGTTTTATTTTATACATTATAGCTAATATGGTTTAAATAAATACATGTAAGCTGCCATTTCTGCAATATTAAGAAATATATGTTGCATATATTTAGTGTATGTGAAGTGTACACATGAGCTTGTATGTCACATGTGTCAGTGGCAGCACACTCACAGCTTCATCCAGGTGCTGGCGGTCGGGGTGCTCATTGGGTGTGTGTTTGAGGATCTCTCGCAGTAGCAGTGGGTATTTGACCAGTCGACTGCGCGGGATGTCCAGGAAGTTCCAGAGGTCCAGTTTTCGGCTAAAGGGTGATTCCAGACAGCGCTGAAGAAAGTCATGCACCCGATGGTCCTGCTTCTTATGGTCCAGCAAGGCTTTCGCTGCTACCTGGTTACTACAGTAGCTGTTGTAGGTTTCAAGACAAGGGAGCTGCGGTGAGAAACAAACAGAGGTGTACGATGGGTCACTTTCCCACATGAGCTCCAACAGTGATCAAACACCCACCAGATGGGTATGATGGAACGAGCGGGGTTAAACTCTGAAGTGTTGGCCCAGCAGGATTTCTTTAAGAAATTTTTTAATTTGGGGAAAGAGAACTGTAGATTTTATATAATTAATTAGTGCATGAGTGTGCGAGAGATCTGCAGAGTGGATGATCAACATCAACAGCCTGAGGGATCAAGACATCTGTGCTGCACATTACATTACAAACCACAGGAGAGGGACAATTCTCCAGCAGGATAGCGCTCCTGCTCATACTTCAGCCTCCACAGCAAAACTCCTGAAAGCAGAGAGTGCTCCAGGATTGGCCAGCCCAGTCACCAGACATCAACATTATTGAGCTGATGAAGGAGGAGGTGTTGAAGATGAACACAGAGACTCTTGATGAACTCTGGGATCCTGCTGAAGCTTTCTTCTTCATTCCAGATGACTTTATTAATCAGTGATGTGAGTCATGTCAGAGATGTATGGATGCAGTCCTCCAAGCTCATGATGGAGTCAGACACAATATTCATTCTGTCTCCACTGCAGCAGGACTTTATATTCTATACTGGACATTATTTCTGTTCAGTGATGAGACTTTAGTCTGAGCAGAGTCAGAGCGCACTGTCCTCATCAAATCAGTCAACATCAAGACATGATCAGATTTATTGAGCTCAAATCAGCAAAATCTAGAGGCCTTCACCTTTCATAGAGACACTTCATCATCAAATCAGCAACTAGAAGTCCTAGTGTGTTCCTAAATATTGGACAGACGATATATACACACTTAAAAGTACACACACACACACAGAAAGTATGTATTTCATATCAGAGTAAAACCGGCTCTGATTTTAGCACACTACTCCAGACTGCAAATCTGTCATATTCACGATTTTAAAGATGTTCCTCTTTCTTCAGATGGAGAGAGCTGCTAGAGGGCTGAAACTGTAGCATGGCAGTGAGATGATCTTACCCAGTGGACTAGAATATGGCCCATATGATCAGTCGAGCCGTCCGGATTCCTGACGTCTCGCAGGCGACTCAGCAGATCTACAGGATTAGAGACAAAGCTTGGGTCTTTATGCCACCGTTTTCATGCGTCACATTGATAAGAGCTTTGCCTATGATGTTTCCACACTGTACACACACCAGGATTATCGTTTATATTTTGTGAGGAGGATTAAATGATTTCTTAAAAATATAGATTTTGCAGGGCGATGCAGAAGCGCAGTAGGTAGTGCTGTCGCCTCACAGCAAGAAGGTCGGTCTCTGGTTTGAGCCTCGGCTGGGTCAGTGTGTGTTTCTGTGTGGAGTTTGCATGTTCTCCCTGTGTTGGTGTGGGTTTCCTCCGGGTGCTCCGGTTTCCCCCACAGTCCAAACACATGCGCTATAGGGGAACTGATCGGCTGTAGTGTATGTGTATGAGTGTGATTGAGTGTGTGTGGGTGTTTTCCAGAGATGGGTTGCAACTGGAAGGGTATCTGCTGCATAAAACCATATGCTGGAGAAGTTAGCGGTTCATTCCACTGTGGCGACCCCTGATTAATAAAGGGAATAGGCCAAAAAGAAAATAAATAGATAAATATATTTTTGGATGGCCAGTGTCTCATTATTATCCATTTTAAGCAGTGAATAAAGCCTTTACATGTCACTTTAAGCTGTTGTGTAATCAGTGTTTATTGATTTTCTCTCATTTGTGTAATATTGTTGAACAGCATGTACATGTTTATATGGTTTAAACACAGTTTGCTAAGTAATATTGTCTGTCTTTCAGTAGATAAATAACTCTATTGTTGCTCACCTTCATGTAGTGGAATGAGGGAGTCCAGCGTGCCGAATATTTGATTGAGTTCATGTTCCGTCATAATACACAGCTTCAGCATAGGGTCGTGATATGCCTATAATGAAATCACAAATCAGACAGGAGACACTCAAACCTTCATATCTATTCTGGTGGAAAAGTTGAACAGTTTGACTGAAAAAGATTGGATTGTACTTGTTTTTTCCTGAGGATGTTATTATTTATGTGGTGATTTGATATACTGATCTGTATATTTTTTCTACTATGTATATATATATATATATGTACAGCTGAAGGCAGAATTATTCACCCCCTGTTTATTTTATTCCTCAATGTCTGTGTAGCGGAGAGCAGATTTCTCCAGCACATGTCTAATCATAACAGTGTTAATAACTCATCTCTAATAACTGATTTATTTCCTCTTTGTCATGATGACAGTAAATAATATTAGACTAGATATTCTTCAAGACACTTCTATACAGCTTAAAGTGACATGTAAAGGCTTCACTAGGGTAATTAGGGTAACTAGGCAGGTTAGGGTAATTAGGCAAGTTATTGTATAACGATGGTTTGTTCTGTAGACTATCCAAAACAAATATAGCTTAAAGGGGCGAATAATATTGAGCTTAAAATGCTGTTTAAACTATTAAAAACTGCTTTTATTCTAGCCCAAATAAAACAAATCAGACTTTCTCCAGAAGAACAAACATTATCAGACATACTGTGAACATTTCCTCAATCTGTTCAACATCATTTGGGAAATATTTAAACAAGAAGATAAAAATTAAAGGGGGGGTGAATAATTCTGACTTCAGCTGTATGTGTGTATGCTACTTCCCCTTCCATGTTTTTTGGATGTTGTGTAATTTAAGTTTTGTTTTTGCCTTCTGGTGTTATTTTTGTGTGATCAATTCAAAATGAGATGGTATAAAGCAGAGTGTACCTTCTTGGCCAGCTTCAAGTCTTCAATCAGGTCCTGTTCTCCCTGAGACAGCTCAAAGATGGCCTGCCCAACAGATGATAAAGGAGAGCTTTAGTGAGAGCTACTACCTTTAAAGAAAAGTGCATGTAGCAGACATTCTGGTTAAAAACACATATTTATATGGTTATAGAACTCTTATAAACTATTCAGTTTGATTATAGTCTGGGATGAATAATGCAACAAACATAAACATTTAGGATGAAGTGGTCCAGAGAGTGCTATGTGGGAGTGTAGTCATGTGCGCCAGCATGCTCAGGTGATTTGCTGTGCTCTGTTTAATCTGTCAAGAGTTCACACTTAGCTGATGATCGGTTATAAAGCGTGTTTGGCATCCTCGAGCCCAGGGAGTTTGAGCTCAGGTAGATGTCGAGAACTCCTCTGCTAATTTATGGCTAATGACAATTTAGGAATCGCTATAGGGAGATATACTGCTGGCTAAGAGCTCATCTATGGAGCCGAGTTGGTTTGGTCAATTCACTTGTCGCATGTGTTTGGATGGGGGAGGAACCCAGGGGCAAACCTGCCCGAGCACAGGAAGAACGTGTAAACTCCACACAGAAATGTCGGCTGGCCTGGTAAGGACTTGAACTAGTGACATTCTTGCTGTGAGGCAACAGTGCTAACCACTGGGCCACCGTGCTGCCCTATTAAGAAAAACAGAAGGAGGAGTAGAGGTGAAAAGGGGGAATCTTCAAGACAAGGATAAGTGAGGTGAGAAACTCTGGTTATTTATAGTGAGTCAGCAATCGTCTGATTGGTGCATCATGTGTTAGCTAATGTGGGGCCAGCTGTGGTCAATCATGAGCATGTGATCCTCGCAAAACTAGTTCATAAATTTAGTTTAAAGTTTAGAAACATTTTTGAACCTTTGTAGAAATATTGCTTCATGTTATTGGAAGTTGATAGTGATGAAACTACTTCATACAATATCCTCTTTAATACAGATAACGCCAATGTATTTTTCAATGTATCCACATTGTTGTCAATAATAAAGTTACCTGCTTGACGGATAGTAATGTCTACAGGTGCATGAATACAACTCTTTGAAGTTTTCATATAAATGTGAATACTTGTCATCATGATAGAAGAGCACCGTGATCCCCCACAGCGTGTCATGTTCAGCATATCCTGCAGGTGATGGTCAATGTGCAGCGCTGAGTGTCAGTGTCGACTGTATGAGTTCACCTCTTGTCTCTTGATTTCTTTGGAGGATAGCATATGTCCCAGGCCTACATCAAACGTCTCGCTCCACAGCTTGCTGTCACGCCGTTTGGTGATGGTCGGCACAACCTGCCTGCTCCACGGCCGAGGTGCCATAATCTCCGGTCTGCAGTCACTGCGGAAGCTGATGGACCGCTGAAGAATAGAGAATTAAGAGTGAATACTATGCAAAACTTAGACATGTGACCCATTTACATCATTGTCCTGTGCACACTGGATTATTCTCTATGTGTTTTATTATTATATCTGTCTACCTATCCGGTCTAGCTGTTCAACAAGCTATTTGTTGTTTGAATGAATGACTCAGCTTATTAAAAATCACAAGTAAACTGTTCCAAAAAATACATGCTGTTATTACTGAATAAAGAGAAACCCTGACAGGACTGTATAGACTCTGGTAGGCTGCAATAATCTGTACAGATCAATGAAATAAGAAGTTGGTTTGTAACTTAATTTTGACTCAACGATCTCAACAGTCTCTTGTTAACATTTCTGTTTGCTGATGTAGCTGTTTTTCATTTAGTTTTCTCAAGAAACTTGCTCTTCAACTTACATTTCCAATTTTTGATGATTGTGATGATGTTTATCAGACTGCAGCAGAATTAGATCTTGCTCCTCTTAATACGGCATATAATAGACTGCGCAGATTTGTTTGTTGTGTGTTGTTTTTTTTCACACACATCATTGCTTAATGTATGATCTGTTGCAGTGGCTATCTTTGCACACAAGACTGCATATAATAATAATAATAATAACGATAATAATAATAATAATGATAATGATAATAATAATAATAATGATAATAACAATAATGATAATTATAATAATAATAATGATAATAATGATGATAATAATGATAATAATAATAATAATAATGATAATTATAATAATAATGATAATAATAATAATAATGATAATAATAATAATAATAAAATAATGATAATAATATTAATAATTATAATAATAATGATAATAATAATAATAATGATAATAATAATAAAATAATGATAATAATATTAATAATAATAATAATAATGATAATAATAATAATAATAATGATAATAATAATGATAATAATAATAATAATTATAATGATAATTATAATAATTATGATAATAATAATAATAATGATAATAATAATAATGATAATAATAATAATAATGATAATAATAATAAAATAATGATAATAATATTAATAATAATAATAATAATGATAATAATAATAATAATAATGATAATAATAATGATAATAATAATAATAATTATAATGATAATTATAATAATTATGATAATAATAATAATAATGATAATAATAATAATGATAATAATAATAATAATAATAATAATAATGATGATAATAATAATAATAATATTAATGATAATAATAATAATAATAATAATGATGATAATAATAATAATAATATTAATGATAATAATAATAATAATAATGATAATAATAATAATAATAATAATGATAATAAAATTAATTATAATAATAATAATATTAATGATAATAATAATAATAATAATAATGATAATAATAATAATAATCATAATAATGATAATAATAATAATATTTTTTATTTATATAGCTCCAGTCCAGAGCGATTATAATGTGACTGCACATCTGAGGCTCATGTGGTTTTTCTGTAAGGGAACACTTGAGCCCAGAACTCGATGTGCACAATAAAATAACACGACTGCAGTCAAAGCCCATGAGCATAATAACAGCATCAGAGGAGAAAGTTCTGTAAGAGTGAGCAGCAGTAAACTGAGTCAGGCCTGTACCTGCAGTGTCTGTCCGATGCGCTTCAGTGGAGCAGCTTTAACTGGAGGAATGAGACTCGCCAGCGACGTCACCCGAGACAGAGGCTTCACCCGCTTGGTGCTGGGTTCCTGAAGATCACAAACACAGCTGATGAACACCTCAGGCCTCATCACACACCTGCAGATACTGACTCACGCCTGTCGGACTGACTCCCTGTACAATAATGTGATGCTCATGCAAATAATGTCTCAAGGCTGTGATTAAAAGGAGACTGCAAGTTTCAGCCAGTTTGTCAGACATACTGGGAACATTTCCTCAATCTCTTCAACATCATTTGGGGAATATTTAAACAAGTAAACAAAATTCAAAGGGGGCGAATAAATCTGACTTCAGCTGTATTGTATATGCATGTATCATGTATTCAAGAGTGAATTTAAAAACTGGGTTGATGTACTCTTCAATAAGCTTCAATATCTTTCATTAGGTATACATATACATGCTGATAAGAGAAAAACGCTTTATCCTTTCAAGCTAATTTCTCATGCTTCCTATGCACCAAATTCATCTATAGATAAACAACAGCCTATGATTATTCAATATTTGCTTATGTAGGTCTGATCGTGCCCCTCAGACATGTGGGCTGGATTAGTAATGGATCAATACATGAATCACGCTTCATTAAGGGATTACACTCGTCTGTTTACCAGTACACTCTCTGCAGCGTCAGGAATCATTTTTAATGAACAGATTAATCACACACCGCACCAACAACAACTAAAGCATTATTCAGATTTAAGTAAGCACATTATTAGTCTGTGATTTGATCTTTAATGGAGTGATCAGAAAAGTTCTGGCTTGTCGTTGATGCAGTATAGCTTTTCATTTACATGTCAAATGACAATCACAACGGCTATATTTCAGGATCATCCATTGTGCTCAAATTGTGAAAGACGGCCTCTTCTATTCTGAATTGATTTGAAGTTTATTGAAAGTCTTGATGATTGATGCTTCAGGCTCAGATTTTAAAGGAGCTCTTATTATCAGTAAAAAATCTTGGCCAAAAATTTGTGTTTCTACTCAGAAATAAAGTTTGTGACACTGCAAAACGATGTTGAAACAACACCATGATAAATTTACATCTTAATAAATAATAATAACAATAATAATAATAATAATAATATTAATTCCTTACATGTATATAGTGCTTTTCTGGGCACTTAAAGCGCTTTACAGATAGAGTCCCCGTCACTATACTGGGGCATTAGGACCCACACAGACCACAGGTTGGGCGCCCCCTGCTGGCCTCAATAACACCACTTCCAGCAGCATCCTAGCTTTCTCATGTGGCCTCCCATCCAGGTACTGACCAGGTGCAGGCCTGCTTAGCTTTAGTGGGCGACCATGTGAGAGTAGCAGAGAGCGAGCTGCCGAAAAGCTAAAGATGATCACGTAATAACCTGAGGACAACAGAGTTCAAAGGTGAGCCCTTCGAAGTCCACACAGGCTGAACTGAGCGTTTTGAAATAAGACGATCTCGCTTACAGAGGACAGATCTCGTCACCAGGCCACCGTAACAGCTGCTGTTCAAAGTGTTTTCAAAACTTGTTGTAAATTAAGGGTTAAGACAATTTTCAAAATCTTTTAATCCACTTCAAATGTTGACTATACAGATATTTTAAGCTTTAAAGGTGCGTACATATGACACCGCAGAACGCTTTCTAGCTAGTCAGCTCACTAGATTTTGCTAATGACTTGAAGAACAAACATTATCACAACATCCATACAGCTAACAGCAGTTCTCATGGGTAGCAGAAGATCAGACAATCCCATCACGCAGGGGGTTTCAGAATCAGCGCAGTGTCCACGCAGAAGCAATCAAAGGGAAGCGTCAGATGTGTTCAGAGGAGAGGTTTGAACTTCAGCTACTGCAATTGGCATGAAAGCATGAGGAGTGGTTGTGATACACGTCTTTTGATGTGTTCGGCTGAGAGGGACTCGCTTCTGTGGGAAAGTGTGAGTCAGTCACTGATCAGGGTGGACCTCTGCATTCAGTTCCCTGACTATCCCAAGGAAAGGGTTGAAAAACTCCCTAAAAATAAGTGTTGAACGCATCATGACTTTTAAATCGTGGTGAATATATTACTAAAGGAGCTGTTGATGTGAAATGGACCCAGATTTTGGTAAAATAGTTTTGCTATTACTGTATTCTGCATCATAAATGCAGCTGTGGCTCACACAACAGAGGAAAGGTTATCAGCTTTAGGGTTATCAGCGTTAACATGTGGTTCATCGAGTGGAGGAGTCAGGCGAACTGATTCAGTGAGCATTGGAACTGACTCAGACCACAGACTCAAAGTCAGTTTGATTAGCGAGTCATGAGGAACCACTGCTATTGTATGTATCTCTCTCTGATCTGACACACACGGCTCAGTTCATGGTGCTCTTTGCCAACAAGATGAAGATCTGAGTCAGCTGCACCGAACAAGTGTACAGATGGACGAACAGCAAAACTAAAAGGCGTTGTTAAAGAAACGATGCAGTAAACCCAGAGCTGGCCAACAGATGCAGAAACCACAAGAGAAGAAGCCAAACACCACAGACATCTGCTGTGCGCTTCACCACACCGAGCCCTGCATGAACCTGAACGACATCTGACTTCTGCTGCCCTGAGAACTACATGCTGGCAGTCATAAATCAAACATTAAATGAGTTCAGCGTCTTTGATCAAGCCAACCGAGAGATCGTGAATACGATGACTTCAAATTCAGGATTTTACACCAGCAGAGACGAAGCCAATCAGGGCTGCGTTTCCCAAACAGCGTATCATAGTAGGATGCATGGTTTGGGAAAAGAGCGATGTCGTGACGAGTGTTTCCCAAAACACATAGTTTGTCTGTCGCAGATCCATCGATTGAACCACATTAGTTAAAGTAAAACGCCCAAAATGATGCTCTAAACTGGGTGGAGGAACTACTTCATAAGAGAAGAACCACATCATGTCTTTGTGCAAATGATATTGTTTTACACACACACACACACACACACACACACACACACACACACACACACACACACACACACACACACACACACACACACACATTTAAAATAATCCAATATTAGATTTGCTGAAATCATGCACTCGCACTCCATATTAACTGAAATATATGTAAACGGCACATATATAGTCTGTGTCTGCTTTAATAATATTATTGAGAACATTACATATTCTATTCTAAAACATATCACTGACACACATAAAGCTGACACTATTCTAATATCATTTAAATCATATAAATACATAAATAATGAGGCGATTTATTATAAAATGAAATGTTATATTTATTATTTCTTAGAAATGAAAAATCATACTTTAATAATATTATTAATAATATTAATTATAATGATGATGATGATGATGAAGTAGTATGTTGTTTATTTTTTACTTTTAGAAAAGTCTACTTTTACAGTTTGACACTTGTAAACCACTGCAGAAAGTTCTTATCAGCAGGCCCGTGTCATATCCAGTACAGATACTTAATAAATAACCCAATATACATTAAAATAATTTCCACTTGTAAATAACAGGTCACCTACAGCTTTCGCCATGAGGCTGTGTTCAAAATGACATCAATGTTTTTAAAGTGCACTGTGAAGGGAGCACAATAGTAAACATGAAGATCGCTAAAACTGAACTGTAAAAGTTGTTTGAAAGTAAATTACACGTAAGAGAGATGACTTTAATGCTGTTTTATTTTTAATCATTCTAACTTTGAATGTCAGAATGTTCTAAATGAATAGGGCATAGGGGGGATAAGTGGGAATAGAACACAGCCAGGAACTGTTTCTGACTACAGCTCTAGAGGTGTAGTTGTGAGTGCTCCAGTTTGCAACACAGTTTGCGAATGTTTGTTGGAGCGACGGATTTGGGAAACGGCAAATCAACAAACTATGTTTGTAACGACGCAACATGCAACCTTAGTTGGCTAATGATGGTTTTGGGAAACGCACCCCAGATCTGTCAGCAGTAATAAAAACAATTCATTTAGGTTTGGTTTTAAAGGGTCACGAAACACCAAAACACATTTTTTGAGCTGTTGACAGTCGTATATGTGTCCCACACTGCTAAAAACACTATTAGGACACCTATATTTCACTAAAAAGTGTAAATTGGTTGTTTTTGCGTTATTTCAAGCAAATTCGTACTTCCTGTTTGAAACGAATTTTTGAAGCTGCGTCACGGTCATGACATAATAGCGTGTATTCCAGCGTGCAGACTGGGCGTCTGTGCCAGAGTGAGCCTTATTACGTCTTACAGTGTGATGCATTAATGCATGAGTTAGGCTTGGTTCAAACCAATCAGCGCGCTCTATTGTGCAACTTCATTAATATTCATTAGTGTCACCGTCTTTACACCACAGAGATGCCACGTTGTGTTGGCAAAACAAGCGTGAAGTGTTGCTTTACAGTTTGCTGCCATTAAGTTTCGTTTTCATTTTCTCTCTGTGAGAGCTTATCTGGATCACGTGTGGATTACAGTGTACGCGACGCTCGACAACAATAATTTACGTGTCTAAGGGGGATTATTGTTTACCTGAGAGCTGTTCTCATCTGCAAACGCTGAGATCCGGATTCCGGATGTAGTCTTCTCTTCATAAAGACGCGGCTCTAGTTGCTGGTGATTGTCCTGTCTCTACAGATTTGGTAAGTGAGCGACCAGTGCTCTTTGTATATTCAGTTTGTTCGTATCAGATAAGTTAACTATTGCATTGAGTGCAAACATGTTAGCACCGCATTTTGTGACCGGAATAACACACGCGGCTTTCGGACGCTACCTGCCGTGTGCATCTAAGTTTCCGGGAAATGCGGAGTTTTTTTTCTGTCATTCGCCGTGCGGTATCAAACATTGCATGAAAAATACACGCTTAGAGCAGTATCTCGAATCAGATATCTCATTTGTCGCGAGGGGCATGAATGAATTCCCTGAATGAAAGAGCCGAACTGCAGTTAAAGTCCGACATTTAATAATTTGGCAAATAATTCGACTACAGATGTCCATGTAGGTTAAACACCATCCCTTTCTCCTGTGTATTTTGACTGAAACTCGCGCGTGCCCAAATAGACACTC